GGTGCAAAGCTCGTTGTAAAACCGGAGCCTTACTTGCAGGTGTTGACCCTACGGAAGGTACAATATATGTGGGCTTTGCAGGTCCAGCGTCTGGTGCTCTTCTTTTTGGATCACCGGGGAGCTGCACTGCTTCCACCACTCAGTAAGTCATATGGAAGTAACATACCCAGCTCATCTAGTTACACTGCACTTTTAATTTGTTCCTGACATTTTCTTTGGAGAACTAAATTGGCTTTCCAAAGAAAGGTCCTGGGCAATCTTGGCCGCAGCGTAAGTGTAGTACCTGACTGCGCTTTGCGGGCAGGGAGCGCTCATGTTAAGGGATTCCAGGTAAGTATGACCACCAGAGTACATCATCTAAAGCTGCTGACAGCCTCTGATGAATTGATTTGAGGTATAATGTGGTCTGGATTACGCGGCAAGTGGAGCCCTCTTTCTGTTGCCTGCTTCTTGCTGGAACATCAGGTGCAGAGTTCTGCAGAACGGATGTTATTTTCTACAAAATTGGACAGTTCGCTTTGATAAATGTATGTTAAATCACTCAAAAACACAGATTTAGGAGTGCAGTCTTTTCTCAATGCATAGGGATATGCCTTTGAATCCATTAACTTTTATTTTGCCGTTTGAGATGGCAGTATAATTTTTCAATGGTTTATAAGGAATGGTGGGAAGCAATTTCATATGAGAGACTGCTTTGTTTTGATCTTAGGTTTAGAGATTTTTTTCATTAAACCCTGAAGCTTGGTGCTAGGATGTATAACATTTTCAAAGGGCAATATTTTACATTTCTACCTCAAAATGCAGAGTTGATATAGAAGGAAATGTTGCATGTTTGGAAAGGTCACAGGAGCTACGATAGGTCCTGCTGTTGCCTTGTACCGCAAAAGAGAGCGTTCCAGTATGCAGTCCTTGCCTTTCTTGTAGCTTTGAGGTTGAACGCAGCTCCCTGCACCTCACCTGCACTGTTTTACAGTTTCTGGCGCAGTGATGGGAAGCACTTTTCCAAGCAGCTATCCAAGCACAAGGGACTTGGTATTTTGTTCTCCTCAATTGCTATGATGGATGGAAGTCAGAAAATTTCTTTGTAGATGGCTGATGGGCAGTGGAAAGAGTACTAGGCTAACCTTGCCTGGCTGTAGGAAATGCCTGGGTGAGGAATCCTGGACTTGCTTTGGGGTCTGCAGAAGTGAAGTGGCAGCCTTTCCGTTGCTCACAGTGAGCCTTGGATCAGCCTCTGAACGAATGAGACAACCGCCTTTCATAATCAGGGGTGATGAAAAGCCCTCGCACTTCAGGACACGAAAAAATATTCACTGAAATCTTAATTAGTCACTGTTTAATTGTTCCTTTTCTGAAGTCACTCTTCCGCATCCTTCGTATGTTCAAAATGCTGACAAGTTTCTCGGCTGCAGAACTGGTGGAAACTAATCTCTCCTAATGAGAGCAGCATTTGAAGAGATTGTGCGTTGCAAGCGACAGCTGAAAGGAGTTTCAGCAAATTCCCAGAGCTGCAGTGTGGGGATTTCAGTCCCATGGTAGGACAAGCTCATGCTGCTTTCCTAAGCCCATGGACAGGGCTCCTGCTCAGGGTGCCAGATGGGGGAGGGCAAAGAGCAGTCTGAAGCAAAGAGCTCACCTGGGGACGTTTATCAAAAAGGCAGAATCTCAGCAGATTTTGGACTAATGTGAGAGGCTTTGTAGAGCTGCAGAGCTTATTGTGAGGGAAACTAGATGTCCCCTCCGGTGAGAGGATGAGATGAGCTGTTAGGAGTGGAGAGTTTCCCGAGGGCTCTGGAGAGCGGTCACAGTCCGAGAGCCCTCTTTGGGGAAACTTTGCACTGAAACAGCTCAGGTCTATTTTGTTATGAAAAACACATACATATTTTAAATGATTTTCTGAGGGCATTTATGTTGTCTTTTCAATTTAGGATTTTTACTTCTTTACATCAGAAGTGATTCTTGGCTGCTTATAGTGTATTAGAAAAACAGGCACGTGCAATGGGCAGCAATAAGCAGGGAAATGTCTGTAACTTGTTTGTTCTGCAGTTTACTATGCCGATTCTGAAAGTAACAGCCTGACCTTTAGTTTCTGGTATGGTTTGGGGGTTTTCTTACGTGTATGTGAAGCTTTCCAAGAAAAACAAAGTGAATGTGGTTTGGCATTTGAATCGCTAATGTTGTATCAACCTAGAGAATTTCAGAAGCTATTAATGTCCATATAGATGTCGTTTTGTTCACTTGAGGATAAACTTTGCCCCTGTCTATCTTTATGTAGCTCTTTTTTGGTCCAAATTCAGATCTGGATAACGTTGGTATAAATCTAAATGCCATTGCTAATGTCAGTAGAGTTGCTTTGGATTTCCTTTGCTCTGAGAAGAAACATGTACATTTGAGCACCTCTAATCCTGCAAAAAGCAGTAGCATTCTAGCCTGCATAGCTGTGGGCTTGGTCCTCGGGGCCCTGCCGGCTTGGGGCTCTGGCGAGATGTGGGGCTAGGATGGCCTTCTCTGGGGGTGCAGCCCTTTGGGCATCCGAATTTTGATAGGGAACTGAAGGCATATATGAAGGCTGAAATGATTTATCTGATTTTTCTTTTTTAAGGTAGATGCATGTGATTATGTGAAAAGATGTTTAGGAGAGCCTGACTGATCACTTCTGTATTATTCTTTTTCTGGAAGCATCTGTTACCGAAGTCATTCTTCGCTGTGCTGCGATGCTGTTTGGATAACTGGTGCAAAGTGTCTGACAGAGGAGCATCTGTGTCGCGCTGCGAGCTCAGCGCCCGCTCGTTTCATGGAGGGGAACCACTTACAAAATATTTATGGCAGCGCTAATAAGGCTTGCTGTCGGGCGCTTGCTCCCGCTGTGCGGGTGAAAGGCAGTGAAGGGTCTGCCTGGGGGCTGCGTCCAGCTGGCCGAGGCGGTGGCCCAGGAGGAGGAGTGCGCAGGGCCTCGCGGGCTCACCGCTGCGGGGCCAGGGGCTCCCTCGTAACGCCGGACGCGGTTTGCCAAAGGCCTTCGAGGCTGAAATGTATCTTTAAAAGGTATTTTCAGATTTCAGTTGAAAATTGTTATCCCTTGTTTGTGAATACAGTACGTTTCTGGTATCTTTTCTGTTCTCTCAGGGAAGAGAAGATTTCTCTTAAGCTTTTGAAAGAAACAAATAGATGAAATGCCAACCCACTTCTTATTTTTTCAGCAGCGTTTCTCGGCGGGGCTGGGGAAGTGTTTCTTGCCCAGCAGCCTTGCTTACAGAAGTAAGCTTGGAGAACAATCTACCTCATGCTAGGAGAAAAAACCATTGTTCCCAACATCTTCTCACTCCCAAATCCATAGTGGGACCACAGGGAAGTGGTCTTATATTCCTCCCTATTACCCCCACATCTATCCAGTGAGTATTTTTAATAGCTTTCCTGGGAGGTTTTAAAATCTGGTCTCCTGACTGAGTTTTACAACCTAGTATACACTTGAATAAAACTAGACTGAAACACCTGCTTTAAAAATGGCCTGGTCCTTATGGTGCAAACGTGACTTGGTGCACTTTCCATAAGGATAATAAAGTGATGTTGCGAGTTTGAAGAGCCGGATGACTGAGTGAGTCACTGTTAATCATTGCAGCTGTGCTGTGAGGCCACTGACCACAGTGGTGACTATTATGAAATGTAGTCTCCAGAAAAATTAAGCATTGTAGCATCTCAGTTAGTAGGTGACAACAGGCAACAGTATAGTTTTATTAAAGATATGGATTATTTTATGAGGGCTCTCCAGCTGAGGGAGCGGATAAAGGCTGACTTTGCAGGGGCAGCGTGTGTCCGACCAGAGGGAGGGGCCGCCAGGACGCCCCGGGTGGGCAAGGGATTGTGTTGCAACAGGAACAACCGGATGCAGCGCAGCGAGTCCGTGCGTTCCCCCGTGGGTGTGGAGGATGACTCTTAAGCATATCGTCACCTCCTTTGGGTAACTAGTCTGTCTCCTAAAAGGAGGTCAGCCTGGTGGCAGTGCTACAATGACGTTGTGCAGGGGATCCCTTACGCTTCGCAGCTGGGGTAACCCCGGTGGAGAGCAGGTGCAAGACTTCTGCTTTGGGGAGGTATCACCTGCTTTGCCCAGGTGGTTCTTAGTCTGCAGTTATTATCATAGTCGTTGCCCCTTCTAATCCTTGCTGAATGCATCTCTGCGGTAAGGGGGACCTGCGTGCAGAAACAGTGAAGTCCTAGGAGGTCTCCAGCAGGACAAGGAATTGGCCTGATAATGCACAAAGTCGTAGTGATTTGGGCTGTAACTGTGTTCTTCGTAAAATTCTGGTATATGCAGATGTTCATACTGCTCCAGCCTTTGAACAAGGCTTTGGAAGAGAGTTTAGAGACCAGCTTGTTATTTGCTGCCTTCGTTTGCTTACCTGTCTTGACAGATCTGATCTGGGAGCTGTATTGCAACAGTGTGAGTTTGCATTGTAAACAGTGTGCTGTGATTTCCTATCAGTGTTGCTTATTCCACCTGTGTTTTCCAGGTCCTTTGTGCAGATTCAAGGTTTGCTGTAGAAAATATTTAATACCATTCTACTCTGCAAACCTGGAAATTGAAAGAAAAATTATTTTTCTAGCTAATGGTTGTGTTTTGCAAAGTAATTGTAAGTAACGTAAAATAAAGCAAAAAGAAAGCATGTGGCATCTGGCCAGTTCTTAGTGACATTGGAGCCAACTAGTCCATGCAATATAACTTCTCCAATGTGATTCCACTGAACTTCCATGGACTTTTGAAGTTTTACCTTATCTAGCTTGTCTTAATTGTACGGCATGTATTTTCCAAGCCAGTGGGTCAATATAAAGATTGTTTTTACGAATATCTGGCATTTCTCTCCACCCGTCGCTGATGTTAGTTGCTGGAGGGGAGTGTCCATCCGCTTTGGACGTGGCACAGGGTCACCAGGGCAGGTTGGATAGAGGGAACGCAATTCCTTGTCCCTCGTGGCCGTTTGCCCCTTCCTCTGACCGCCAGCCCCCCCGGTGCTGCCTGCGGCTCTCGGCTGCGTTACGGGGCTTGCAACAGCTCGGTCCTCACCCGGGGACCTGATGAGTTGCAATGCAGCTGGGAGGATTTCAGCCGGTTTCAGTTCCTAGTGTGAGTGTTCTGTTTAATATGTCATTTCCAAAACTGTGTGGTTACTGCTGTAAACATTTATTCCTAGTGTGTATCTATAGATATGTCTTAGAATTAATGCTAAATTGGTCATTAGTGCTCAGTCTAAAAATCGCTATGTCAAAAACTGCTTCCTTCTAGTTTTTTTTAATTGGCAACGGATTGTGCACAAATACGGGATTTGGATGATCAGAACCTCCAGGATCTCATCAGCTTAACTGGAAAATGTCAGCCTTTTACATTAATAAATAATTTAGCTAATAAATGATTTAGTCACTGGGGAGAAAAGGAATTGACTGTTACAGCTATCGTTCACTTCTAGATGATAATGATAAGCTATAGCCCACAGCTCTTAGGAATTAATAGCTCTGGGCTTATGACATTGTTTTCATATATTAGAACATCTCAATTTCATTATATTTGGTAACATTTTATTCTGGAATATCTTTGCATGGAAAAAACTGGAAGATGTACAAAGTGCGTCTACCTGCATCTTCTAACGTTGCTCTTCAGCTTTTTACAGCCTGCAGATGTGTGTTGCCAGTGCTCTGCCTTTTCTTTTTTAAATTGAACCGTCTTGTTTTCTGTTGACGAGCAAGCTAGGCTGCTCTTCGCTCACTAGAGGAAATAAGTTGCTTAGACAACGTGGGGGGATTAGCTGTATATCAAACTACTGCAGGAAACAAGTAATTAATTCTCATCAAGATGCACAGTGTGCTCTGTGTGGGGATTTTATGGAGTCTTCTGGAAAAGAAAATATTTTTCTGTCTAAGCAGCACAGCATTTCCTACCAAGCAACTAGCTGTAAAGGAAACAGCTTAGAAATGCTTCTTGGTTGAAGGAAAGGTTTGGTACATACTTTCAGTATGTGCCAGTGTGCTTAACGTCGCTCTGCGTTTTTCTAGCATTTCCTAATTTTTCATCTATATACATGATGTTAGTAGTCATAGGTATAGGACTAACAATCCATCCGAGCCAGCCCGTTTGATCTTTCCTTTTCTTTTGGTAACACTGATGGCAAGATTTGGCAAAGAGCGTTCCAAAGATTCAGGTTTGGGTTTGCTTCTCTTGGAAATCACTGTTAAAATATTGACCTCGTTGCTGCTGGATCACGGGCCTGAGTCTGATTTTTGGAGAAGGAAATAGCCCGGTGGACAAAATATGGCATTAGTGCAAATAAAACTCGGCAGGTGAGGTCAGCGTGTCTGCTGGAGCTCTGCGCGCCGGTCAGCCCCCCCCCGCCGCTTCCCAAGCGTGAGCGACCCGGAGCAAGGTGTGTTTCTAAACATAGCTAGCAAACTTGCTGAACCCTAAGCCAGGTGAGAAAGCATCTGTTAAGAGCACCAGGAGACATGCAGCTGTTTGATGCACAATTTGGAAGGTCTTTATTTCTCCCCCCAATGCCATCACCAATGTATTTTTCGCAAGACCCAGCCGAATCCTGCTGTCCGTGCCGAGGGTGGGACAGGCGCCGCGCGCGGGTGGCGCAGGGATGGGGCAGGACTGTGCCAGGGTGCCTCGGGCCGCTGGCGTCCCCGCTGTCGCGGTGGGGCTCGCCCGCTAACAGCTATGTTACACAATTGGGAGATTTGAGGTGAAAGCAGGACCTGCTAAGGATGCCGACCTCTGTGATACCGAAGTCAGGCGAGACAATTCCAGTAATTCTTTGGTAGCTGCGTTCTTTGGCAAAGACAGGCTTGAAATATTTTAGACAGCTGGGTACATAGCAAAACCCACAAATATATCCTGTAAATCGCTGTCCTGAGTTACAGAATGTCACTCAGTTAAGGCCGAAAGACTGCAAGTTATTTGTGCTATATATAGTCATAGGCTGCAGCGTGTGTACTGCAGTTAAATTCTCACATAGCTGGAGCTAAAACAAGCTGCAAAGGGAAAAGCTGTGTCAGTCAAAATAATAAAAAGAGAGGGCATGCCCCTAGTAAATGCGGTAACTTAATTATAAGTAAATGCACACTTTTATAGAACAACAAAGGCCTCATTTCGGCAAAATTTTAGCCACGTGCTTATTTTTACGTACTGTGAGCCGTCACGAATGCCAATGGGCCGCTTCACTGAACGTTAAGCGAGGGCCTAATTTCTTGCAGGACTGAGGCCGAAGATAGCAGCATTTGGTTTTTGCTAAATATTAAATGTTTCAGTGCACATGCATCTTCTCCCAAATTGAAAACATCTTTCATTTATTGGGTCGAGCTGGCAGCCAGCGTAGAAAACACTCTGTGTTGTGTTTATCAGCCCGCTGAGAAACGCCGTCCCTTTCGAGCCTGTTTGTGCTCTGCCGAGAGCACCGGCAGAAAGTTTAACTGTCTTCTGCTCTTTTTCTTTTAATGCTTTGAACATGAGCGGTGCGGGGCCTCTGAAAGCGAAGGAGGCGAATTAAGGGAAACGCTAAGGATTTAAATCTCTGATTTCCCCCGCGTTGCCAGAGGAGGGCTGGCGGCTGGATGCCGCGTAGCCGGACGGGGTCCGTAACCTCGCTCGTCCCCCGAGCCGCCGCGGGTGACAGTGCCCGTCCCCAAAAGGCTTTAGCTGCCGAGCCGTTTGTGGGGAAACCCGATTTAAACTGCTGCTGGGCGCTGCAGTAGATTGAGCGAGAACAGGCAACCCGCCCTTGACGTGTTAATTAATGTTCCATTCGTCTTAATTGATCTAATTTAAGCTTTGCTGTGTGTGTGCGCGTGTGTAAAAATGGACCTCAATCATTGCAGGGCTTGGCTCTGCAACGGCTTGAAAACCGCTGATATAGGGCGATAAATCTATGGAAGGGAGTGAACGCTGAAGGGATTTAGAAAAATCTTTTCAAATGACTCTTCTACTCTGCTTTGGAGAACCAGGAACGTGTGAAAGGTTTCCCTTGTAGCGGAGAAAATGAAGAAAGTCTGTAATGCTCTGTGTAACCATCGGAGTTTGTTCGTTATTAAGAATCCTTGCAAGGAAATTTCTTGCCTAAATTGTGACAGCTGATTTCGTTAACCGAACACAAGGTTTATTACTATATGAACTTGATAATTAGTTTGTAATTTGCGCATAAGCATTTCATACTGGCAGTTTTCTCGCACAGAATAATTTGCCTTTTATTTGTTGAGGATGTTTTTTTGTGAGAACAGAACTCCCATTCATGATGGGCACAGCAAATGTAGTAAAACATTATCATAGCTGGGATTTGTTGTACACTATGGATTTATGTCAAGAATGTTAATGATTTGTTTATGAATAAGTGAGCCTGTAGTATTGTGAAACAGTATCTGGCAGGGCTGCTGAATGGACATTTTGAAAGCAGAGGATTCTTGAACTGAGTAAGCTGTAGATATTTGCATGTCTCAGACTAGTCGTAAGTAGGCTTATGGATTTTAAACAGAAGTGTAGAAGACGATAATGCATTAAATAAACACTGTTCATCTGGCGTACGTACGGGCCACTGGATAACATGCAAAGAGGTTGTTAAGTATTTTTTAAGGGTAGTTAATCCTCTTCTAGTGGGCTTATTTTTTTTTAGAAATGAGGCTTTCCTTCAGAAAGGAACGCGAAGCCTTAAACAGAGCAATGTGACGTTTGCAAAGTCAGTATAGATCAGGAGCGTACTCTGGATAGACAGTGTCTTGCTTTGATACAGCATCTAGTTTAGCTGGGATGGCAAGTCAATGTCTCCTTGACCCGGCCGACCAGCACCCGATATCCAGCAGCATGGAGTGAGACAACCATCCCTTTGCCCCCAGCAGTCTGAGCTCTCCCAGCATTTTGGACTCATGTCCTTATTTTTAATTAAACTAGCTGTTTGAATGTTCTTTGCCCACATGCGAGGTAAATAGTGTAATTACAAAGCTGCCTCTCCTACCATCCTCTCTCCCACGAGTTTTATAGCTGGCAAAATGGGAGTAAGCCCTTAACTCCAAGAGGGAGTTGTCACTCAGGTGGGATTCACACGTTTTCTCTATCTACCTAAGCTTCTTGGGGAGCTGCAGGTACAAGAAGCGTTGTTCGTTGCTATAGCAGGAAGCCTTGCAGGGTGCCTTAGTGCCTCTTAGGCAGCTGGGCCCCAAAACTAGGAGTTTCAGCGCTGAATTCAGGGAGCATCAGAGACGGTTGGTGTTGCGCAGCTGCGGCGTTGTGTGGAGCGTGACTGAACTCTCTGCCCCATAAATTGTGGCTGTTCTTGAAATTGTGTCTTGTAATTTTTAATGAGCTGGGCTATCGGCTCTGCATCAGTGAATGGAATTGCTTTAACATTAAAACTGTGCCTGGAGGACTTCTCTGAGAAATTGCTTATGATTATTAAGTGACTATAGTATGGGAAGACAACTTAGCCTCTTTGCTGTGCTTTTTTTTTTTTTTTCCCCATAGCGAATGTGGTTTTAAAATTTGAAATGGATCTGGATGGAGAGTAATGTTCATGAAGGAATAGCTTGGGAAGCCACGTAGTACTCTCTCCCTTTGAACATGGATCAGAAAGAGAAGTAAGATGCAGTTTATTAAGGTGCAGTTTCTGTAGAAGAATTGGATTTCTGCTAAATACGGTTTGATCGTATGCCACACAGAAAAGAGGCCGAACCCAGAATACTTTGTGCGCTGAGCTGGAGAAGAACCTCTTCCAAATCGAACGGGCTGGGGAAAAACGAGCCTAGGATCGCTTGTCCCTTCTGTTCCGTATTCACACATAGCGATCTACAGAAGTGAAGAGACAGCCCTCCTCCCCGTGACCGTTGATGATGGTGGGGCAGCTGTGGCGGGTGGTCAGGCTCGTTACATCTAACCTACTGCAGGGCAGCAGCGCCCGGGAGTCTTTCATCTAGGCCAGGGCACTGGGGTGCTGATGACATGAGTTGCCATAGCTCTGTGCGTGTTATCTCTTCGATGGTGCGTTCATCGCCTACACGGTTTTCAAAGTTGTCCCCTCTTTCTTCCCCAGTGTTGTCTGGTCCGTGGTGGTAATACAGCAAATACATAGCCCACGAGCTGCATTTTAC